TGGTGCAGGCGGCCTGCAGCCTTGCTGGGGGAGGGGCGTCGGGGGCGCTGTCCGGTCCCGGGGGGCGGGCGGCTGGGATGTGCACGCCCAGCTGCGCTCAGCGCACAGCCCCGGACTCTGCTACCCTGCGGAGACCTCCTAGCAGACCCAGCCGGGAGGTACAGGGTTTGGACCGGAGGGGACCTTTGATGACATCCCGTGTAGCCTCCTCCTTTTACAAACTGGGAAACAGAGGTTCAGAGGGGGCGTGTCTTGCCCCAAATCACACAGCGAATGAGATGACTAGGGACAGTTTTCCCCGAGCTCCCAATTAAGAGTTCTGTTACAACCGCGTTTTTTTTTTTTTTTTTTTTTTTTTTTTTTTTTTATTTGGGTAAACACATGTTGAAAGCTTCGGTTTTGCCATTAGTTTTTGTTGCATTTGTTTTAGCTTTTCCTCTCTTTTGGGCGTGGGGTGGGTCTCGTTATCTAAGTCTTGATGATATAATGATTTTTTTAAAAATACCTTTTCATTGCTTTTATAACATTTATTTCAAATTATTTGTAATTCCACTGCTGTGAATATTTTGTAGACTGTCCAGGGGTTTTTTCCTCCATGTGTGCGTGTTTTGGATTTTAAGGGGAATTGGTGTCTTGCTGTTTTATTTTTCTGCCTTGCTAGCTTCGTTTTTATTTTCATATCATAAAGATACCACTAATGACTGGTAATCTCAGTATAACTGTAAAGATATTTAAAAATACAGATTGCAGTCTTATATTTAACATATATAGCTCTTGGGCATCCTTGCCAAATCGAGAGAGAATGTTTCCAACACCCCAGAAGGCTCCTTTGAACTCGTTCCCAGTTAGTACCTCTAAAGGTAACATAATTTTTAAAATTTGCTTTAGGGTTGGGCCCAGCAGATGGCTCAATAGTTACATCTCTGGATTCCCACATAGTCGACCTCATTTAGGGTCTTGGAGACTTAAAACTCGTGCCAGGAGGATGTGTGTACCCAAAATCCCAAGAGGAAAATGGAGAAGGAACTGCAGCCTGGCTATCCCCCTGGGAGGTGATTTCTTGCTTTCTGTCTCTGTCTCTCTGGTAAGTGCACATGCCCTATAGCAAAAATCTCTCTCAGAAAAAAATTTTTTTTGCCATAGGGCACATATACTCACCAGAAAGGGAGAGGGAAAGGGAGAAAACACCCTGGAGGGCGCATAGCCATGCTACAGTCCCTTCCCCTCCACTGTTCTCTTGGGATTTGGGGGATGCACACATACGCTCTCAGCATGCTTTTTAAACTACTGGGTATGGGACTCAAACTGGAGTTGGCCATGTGGGATCCAGCTGCCTTGACTACTACACCACCTGCTGCTCCATTCTTTTCTATTATTATTATATTTGCCATAGGATGTGTGGAAAGAGACCGTGAGAGGGAAAGTGAGAAATGATCTCCCTAGGGGCATAGCCATGCTGCAGTCCCTACTTCTCCATGGTTCTCTTGGGATTTGGGGCATGCATGCATACACACCTGGCATTATTTTCAAGCTGCTGGTGAGGCAGTAGACAGGGACCCTACGAATATAGTTAGGGTATAGGACCAAAATGGAATCACAAAATAGTTCCCCAGTTTCCAGTATCACTGGGTCCGAGACTTGAACCATGGTCGGCCATGTGGGAGTCCAGTGTCTTAGCCACCTGGCCATCTATTCTATTATTTATCAATCCTCTGGATTTTTTTCCTAAATAATTATTTATTAAATTTTATTTATTCATTCATTTATTTTTAATTTGACAGAGACAGAGAGAGAGAGAGAGAGAGAGAGAGGAAATGAGAAAGTAAGCCATCAGGTCTGGGACTCGAACCATGGTCAGCCATATGGGAGTGTCCAGTGCCTTTAACCACCATGCCACCTGCTGGTCCCCCTGTGCTTGTGATTCTTAACCTCTCCTGTCCCACAGAGGAGTGTTTTCAGGAATAAGCTGTTTTTCCTAGAAGGGGAACAGGAAACGTCTCTTGCTTTGCTGATACGAGGATCACTCTGTGGTCTGATCTAGGCTGCTATGAGTTGGATCACTTTAGGACAGGATGCTTATTGATTCTGGTTCTCTCTTCTCTCGGCAGGACTACTTGTTGAGATTTGAGGAAGGAGGTGTCTTCTCAGAAGGCCTGGCTGGAGAAGACTGAGGTTCAAGGCCTGAAGCCTGAGCTATTGCCCTGGGAACGTGGGTGATGGCTGCAGAGGTGCCGGGAGTAGCCACTCCCCTGAGCCCCATGGTCCAGATGCCGCAGGAGGAGGACGAGCAGGAGGAGGAGGTCACCACTATGATCCTGGAGGATGACTCCTGGGTACAGGAAGCTGTACTGCAGGAGGACGGCCCTGAGTCAGAGCTCTTTCCCCAGAGTGCTGGCAAAGGCAGCTCCCAGGAGGAGGCGGTGGCTGGAGGACCACAGGGTGCACTCGGCCGCCTCCGGGAGCTTTGTCGGCGCTGGCTGAGGCCGGAGGTGCACACCAAGGAGCAGATGCTGACTGTACTGCCGAAGGAAATTCAGGCCTGGTTGCAAGAGCACCGGCCTGAAAGCAGCGAGGAGGCAGTGGCCCTGGTGGAAGATCTGACCCAGACTCTGCGAGACAGTGGTGAGAGCCAGTGGGGACAGGGTGGGAGCACCCTTCTGAGGTAGAAGAGTGTGATGTTCGCACAGGAGGAAAAGGCGATGTCCAAGACGAAGTCAGGGAAGGTGCCCTCCCTCGCTCTGTCTGCAGGTGGTCAACCCGTTCGTCACCCATTTAATGGGTCAGTCACTGTGTGATGGTGGCTCCAGAAGGGGCTTAAAGGACTCTTCTTGGATCTGCATTTGCATAGTAAGCCCAGTTTTTTTTTTTTTAAGAATTATTTTTATTTAACTTTATTTATTTTAATTTGACCAGAGAGGGACACAGTGAGAGAGAGAGAGAAAGTGAGAAAGCAAGTCGCCAGGTCATGGACTCGAAAGGGCCATCAGCCATGTGGGAGTCCTGTGCCCTTAACCACCATACCACCCGCGGGAGTCCTGTGCCCTTAACCACCACACCACCCGCTGGCTCCAGTAAACCCAGTTGTTAATTATGTGTTTATTTGAAGAGGTCAGGAAACTGATGGAGGTTGGGAGGGAAGGGATGAAGACCCCTATGAATTACCCCTTAACACCAGCACTGAAATAAATACCCAAACAATTCCAGCAATTAGAAAAAACAAATAGACCCCTATGAATTACCCCTTAACACCAGCACTTAAATAAATATCCAAACAGTTCCAGCAATTAGAAAAAACAAATAATCTGATTTTTTTGAAAATGATTAGTTCTATGAAACAAAGATAAATGACAAATAAACCAGATAATACAGGGGCCTTCTGTAGAAAAATCATCCTTGGGCTCTTAAAAGTAATTCTAGGGCCAGCTGGTAATGTGGTGGTTAAGGCGGCTGGGTCCCACATGGCCGACTCTGTAGTTTGAATCCTGGGCCTAGTGGCTTGAAAAGCATGTTGGCCATGTGTGTGTACATGCCCCAGATCCTAAAAGGAAGGCGAGCTGGAGGAAAAGGGATTACAGTGTAACCATTCCCCATGAAGGGTCCATTTTTACTGCCATCCCCGCCACACAAATGTAAGTGTCCTCTAGCAAATGAAAAAAAAAAAAAAAAAATCCAAACTTGAGGTCTTTGCCAGGACTCAAACTGCAGTTGACCATGTGGGAGTCCAGTGATAATAACTATTAAGGCATCTGCTGGTCCCCCAATCACATAAACTTTGTCACCTTTTACTGTATTTGTCTCCTGTGTTGCTAATAAGTTCTGGGATCTCAACATACTGCTTAGCTATTCTCTATTCTACTCACTTAACGATCAAATATTTGCTTCAGATCTCTCTGTGTCACTGAGAGTATTTCAGGATCAATAGGGTACCTTTGTGCTGACGGGAACTGCAGAAACTCTCTTCCAGAGAAAGGAGTGTGGAGTGGAGCAGTCAGGTCGGAAAGGCTTCATGGAGGATGTGAAACCTGAGCGGGGGGAGCAGGATAGAGTAGAATTCGGAGAGCACAGCACAGGGAGGAGGATGTGGCAGCTGGGAGCTTTGCTAAGAAAAGGCTCAGAAGTGGGTACCACTGTGGTTTATTCGATCAGGTGACAGTGAGCAGGGCCTGCTGACTAGAGAGGCAAGTGTGTTTTTAGGAAGTGGTAGAAGCAGAGCTGGAGGAGAGGTAGGTGGAGGCTTGGACTGAATGTCATTGGCTGAGCAGGTTCTTGACTGAGGGCCCACGGGGCATGGGAGGAAGCCGAGTTTGACCACGGGATGTGGATTTGATTAGAGTAGAGACCGGCTAGAGGCAGGAGAGCAGCCAGGAAGCTGCCTGGTCATCAGGCATGGAGACAGTGGGAAGAGGAGCTTGGACATGCATGAGAAAGAGCTAGCACTGGCAATGTCCAATCAGAGAAACTTTTTTTCTCCTTTGAGATTTTTGCTGTAGGGTGCATGTGCTCACTCAAGTGACGGAGAGAGAGCGAGCGAGTGAGAGTGAGTGAGAAATCACCCCCTGGGGGGATGGCCACGCCGCAATCCCTTCTCCTCCATTCTCCTCTCGGGATTTTGGGCACATATGCACATGTACCCAGTGCGTTTTAAACCACCAGGTCCAGGACTCGAACTGCAGTTGACCATGTGGGAGTCCAGCGATAATAACCATTAAGCCATCTGCTGGTTCCCTAATCACACAAACTTTGTCACCTTGGGAGGTATGTAGGATGGTTGCCAGAGATGTGAAATGACTCTCTTCAGCACACAGGGACTTTGAGGTGGAACCAAGGCTTGATCTTAGGCACCTGAGGACATGCCCATGTTCTCTAGCATTTCATCACATGTGTGATGCTAACTGACGGTTCCTAGTCGGGTGCAGGAAAGAGGGGATGCAGAAGAGAATTAAGACAAAGTAACTCAGGGGCATCTAGTCTGGAGGGTTTAGAAGACGGCGAAGGGAAGGGTAGTGCAGGAAAGGACGGGGGGTTTGAAGCTGAGGCTGTGACAGCTTACAGGGACTGGGATGTCTGAATAATACTGTCCAGTGGACAAAGAGGCTAACTTTTTTTTTTGAGTTTTTATTTTTGCTACAGGGTACATGTGCTCACCAGGGAAAGAGAGAGACAAGACAGAGACAGAGGGAGGGAAAGTGATCAATCACCCCTTGGGGGGTGATGACACCACAATCCCTGCTCTGTTCTTCTCCTGGGATCTTAGGCACGCGCACACACACACCTAGCATGATTTTTCAAGCCACCGGGTCTGGGACTCAAACTGTAGTTAGCCATGTGGGAGTCCAGTGATGTAACCACTATACCATCTGCTGGCCCTGAAAGGGGCTGACATTGAGGGTCTATGTGTGCCCACCCTGCCTTAGGCACCTTACATGTACGTATCACTAAGAATCCTGTGGGGTAGGTGGGGTTGTATTGTTATAGAATGAAGTTCGACAAGGTCCTGTAGCTGTTAAGTGGTGAAGCCAGGATTCAAACTTAGATTTGTTTCCTTCCACATGTGTCCAGTGTGTTTTTCTTTTTTTATGAGAGGTTTTTGCTATAGGGCGTGTGTGCTCATCAGAAAGACAGAGAAAGAGAGACAGAAAGTCAGAAATCACTCCCTAGGGGGCATGGCCACACCTCAATCCTTCTCCTCCACTCTCCTCTATGGATTTTGGGCACGTATGCATACATGCCTGGCGTCAGTTAAGCCGCCGGGTCCAGGACTCAAACTGCGGTCCACTATGGGAGTCCAGAGATGTACACCATCTGCTGATCTTGCGCCCGGTGTGTTTTTCAAGCCACTGGGTCTAGGACTCAAACATACAGTTCTCCATGTGGGATCTCGCGCTTTAACAACCATGTCACTTGCTTGCTCCTCACCTGGATTCTTGAGCCACAGCCTCTAAACTGAACCTGCTTTCGGCCCCTTCCCCCCTCACAGTTCCCTTGTACCAGGATGACCCAGGAATTCTGCTGCTTCAGCGTCTTCATGGGTCTTCCAGGGTCTGCTAAATCTAGCATGGCTTCCTGTCCTGCTTGGAATCTATGGGCACTTTGGCCTGGCCCAGGCCTCCCCTACAGCCTGGTCCCTCCCTGGATCCGTGTGGCAGCCCTGGCTCAGCCAAGACCAGATCTTGCTGTTTCTTGCCCACAGTGCTTTCCAGTATTCCCTTTGACTCCTGAATTTTTGACTTGGAAAGGCCATCCCTGTGTGATAAAAATCCTGGTCATCCTAGGAGACCTCTCCATAAATCTGGCCTTCATTCTAGTCCCTCTTCCCTGTCCCCAGTTGTACCCAATGGAAGCATATCTAACCACCTCTCCAGAGGTTTGGGTTCTCCTTCTCTTTTGACTTTTTAATCAATCTGTCTTGTCTTCTATTTATATGAGTACTTTCTTATTTTTACTAGGAACCTGTAAAATACCAGCAAGCAAGAAACTTATAAAATTTATCTTTATTTAATTTGACCAGAGAGGGGACAGAGTAAGACAGAGAAAGAAAGAAAGAAGGAAAGAGAGAGAGAAAGTGAGAAAGCAAGCCACCAGGTCCAGGACTTGAACCGTGGTCGGCCATGTGGGAGTCCAGTGCCCCTAATCACTATGCCACCTGCTGGCCGCTTTGTTTTTATTTTTCCTCTCGCTCTTCCTTCCCTCTTTCTCTCTCTCCCTAGCTTCTCTTTCCTTCTCCCCACCCTCTTGCCCTCCCTTGAAATCATTTGTCAAATGTCTTACATATCATGTCTCACACATGTGTCAAGAAGTCATTCATCGGGACCAGCAGTTAGCGTCATGGCTATGTCGCTGGACTCCCACATAGTCGACCGCGGTTTGAGTCCCGGACCCGGTGGCTTAAAACTCACGCCGGGGGTGTGTGCGTGCGTGCCCAAGATCCCGAGAAGAGAACGGAGGAGAAGGGATTGCGGCGTGGCCATCCCCCCTGGGGGGTGATTTCTCGCTTTCTGTCTCTCTGTCTCTCTCTGTCTGGTGAGTGCATGCGCCCTATAGCAAAAACCTCTCCCCCCCAAAAAAGAAGTCATTCATCAAATTGTATGGCTCAATTTTAGTTCAGAAAATATAATCACTACAGAAGTGGGACAGCTTGTCCCCGAATTGCTGTCTAACTGCCATGCCCAGGTTCACCAGCTCCGTGTGTCAGGTAAGCATACCTCCACAAGTCTCCTTTAGGGTTCTGCAGACCACGAGCTCAGGCTACAGCAGCAGCCCTCACATAACCCCAGGCCAGTGTGGTTGTACCTTTGGGGTGAGAGAGAAATGGTCCTCCTCCTTTTTTTTTTTTTTTTTTTTTAAGTTTGTTAAAAGGCTTGTGTACTCTAGAGAGAGAGACAGAGGGAAGGAGAGAGAAAGAGGGGAAGTGAGAAATCAGCCTGCTGTGAGGATGCCTATGGCACAATCCATTCTCCTCTTGGGATCTTGGGCATGCACGCACATGTGCCCAGTGTGATCTGTAAGTCACCAGGTCCGGGACTCTAGGGGCATAGTCAGCCATGTGCGATCCAGTGCCTTCACCACCATACTACTTGCTGGCTCTGGGTCAAATCTCAACGTTAACTTTTGTACACTTGTAC